AATTCGTTATAAGCTTATAACGAAGTTGATATCCAGATCCTAGAATTCGTTATATCAAGAGTTCACTGTATATACAAAGTGATCTACATATAGAATTGATCTACTGCAAATTGACCTATATGTGCAACACTGAAAATGTTGACATAATTAATATAGTTAATATATTTGACATATTTGATATATTTGATATGTTAATTTATTTAATATATGTAATATATTTTATATGGTTTATTTATTTAATATAGTTAATTTGTTATTATATGTATTTTAAAATATATAAATACAGTAGCTTAGGACTTATAAAAAAAGCAGAATTCAATTAGCTATTTGAAATTAACAATTCTCAAAAAACCTCTTAAGTAATTGTATAATCAAATTACCTTTCTTATTTTATTTATTTTCTTTTATTTCTTTATTCTTTATTTTTTTTTCTCTCATATTTTTATCAACAAACTCTTTCTATTTTATCCTTTATATCTTTGTGAGTCTGTGTGATATATCAATTTTTGTGAATTATAAATTTTAACAATCCCTGTAAATCTTAACAAACCTTCATACATTTTTGTAATAAAACTATAAATCTTATAAATCTTAGTAATATACAGTTTTCGTGAGTCTTAGTGACAATCCATTAGCCTTTGTGAATCTTTGTAAGAAAAATACAAGTCTTTGTGAAACTTAGTGAAATTATTGCGTAAACTAAAAAGAGTCATCACTCAAATACCCTGTCTAATTGTAGCGATCCACCAAAATCACACGTTAACAATATTATATTACCTTTAAACATTTTGCAATTAATAAAAAGCAGATTTACTATAATTTTCTAATATTGATATTTATATGTATTTTAATTATAAATTATTAATCATAATAAAAGTATTGTTATTCTTTTAAAATCGATTTATATTATTTCTCTAAAATTGATTTGTAATTAAATTCAAAAAGTAAATATTATTATTAAAGTAGCAAATATCAACTAATATCTTGCATTTCAACCAAATTTAATGATCATATATATGGAAGGATCGCTAGGAAAATGAGATTTTAAGAATTTTTTTTAATTTTATTTGCATTTTAATTTTTAATAATATTAGATTAAAATGCAATAAGAATTAAATTTTAGTTAAAAAAATTCTCGGGATCCCCATATAATATTTTTATGTTTATAATTATTTCTATAAATAATGTTTACTTGACTCTAATAAGCTTAATTTTATTAGGAAATAAATATCATGAGTAATATAATTAAAGATTTTAATCTAATACTATCGAATAAAGTGATCGAGAGATCTTAAAAAAAACCGCATCAAGCTATCGACGATCCCTATGATCAATCCGTCGATCTGTTCTAAAAAAAAGATCGGTGCCCATTTCGGAAAAATTTATAACTTAGATTGAAAATGAAAAAAATATCATCATTCTTTACAAAAACTTTAATCAAAATGTCTTTGATTATAAAAGGGTCAACAATTGTTTAAATATTCTTAATTAATAAAATTTTTCGTAAAAAAGTTACAACTTCTTGTCTAAATTAACCATTTATTGATGCATTTATAATAATAATAATAAAAAATTTAAGAACGTACATAAAAAGTATTACAATAAATATAATTACAATGAATCTCTATATAATTTATTTTTTTTGTTTCAGAAACGACCAACTTACAAACTAGTTATTCTAATACGATCAGTGAATAGAATCACCATAGTATTGATTATTTGATTGCATAATAGGTACGGCATTTTTCCCATGATTAATAGAAATAGCGTTAGTCACATTCGTATTATGTAATTGTATCATATTAGCGACTCGGTCAACATGATAATAAGCTAATTCGCCCAATTCAGCTTCATCAATACCAAGGTGTTCAGAATCTGGATCAATTCTTAGACTTAAACCGGGAACTTTATCCATCAAGAACAAAATAATATAGGTAATACAAAAACTATAAGCCAAACCAGCACAGGAATCAGCAATTTGATAAAGCACTTGTACCCAATTTCCATCTAACCAACCTCCTTTAATAATTTCGCCACTTAAAGCCGCGACATCTTTTTGTGCGAATATACCTAAATTAAGGATATTTATTATTTATTTGCCCCCAAAAAAATAGGAACCAAATTTGAAAATTTTGATTTACTTACCGGTTAGTATATTTCCACATATACCACCGACTCCATGAACAGCAAAAACATCCAATGCGTCATCAAAATCCAACAAATGTTTCAACTTAACAGCAACATTACAAAATACTCCACCGACAATTCCAAATACTATAGCTGATGCCGGTTTAATATAACCACTTCC